AATGTATACATATATTCACCAAGACATTCATGATAATGTCCATAGTAGCAATACTGTTCATTAATTACGGAGTGAATAAATGTATTGTGATATAGTAGTCATACATAGAGTGGACTACTATACTGCAATGAGAATAATCATAACTATAAGCAACATTACTGATGAACCTCATAAACATAACATTAAGCAAAAGAAACCAGAAATAAAAGAGTGGCAACTGTTTCTTGCTCTCTCAGAATGAGCTTCCCTCAGAGAAGTGTTCCCTGTGCTCTCTTCTGCCTCTCTGCACTACTAGATGGGTAGGTCTATCTAGTGCCAGAGTTCAGTGTAACGACAACCAAATACATTCTTCAGAATAAGCTTTGTCAGTGATAAAGGCAATCTTTTGGGGGAGGGGGAGAGCAGGAGGACACTAATTTCATCAAGTTTATGGGAATCTTGAAATAGAATATAATCAGAAACAGCAATTAAAACTGTATTTCAAATCAGTATAAGCACATTGAAGGATAAACGTAGTGTGTGTGAGAGACAGAGACAGAGAGACAGAACTAATCAAGTAACTTTTGAACACACCACTGACATTTCAGTAACAATCATCACACCAATCACCAAGATCTTGGTTTCTAGGTATCATTCTTCACTAAAAGGAAACAATTTTCCTTCGATAAATAACTGACTTGGGGTCTGGGGCAGGAGAGGAAGTGAAAACACCAGAAAATAATTACTCAGCGAATGGTTGAAGGCACCCCCTGACCAAATTTGGGACAAACTGAGCATAAAAATAATGAATAATGATAATAAAAGAGTATAAGCTACTGAATGCAATAAAAATCTACAAGTTCATACTGAAATAAATAAACAAACAGGTAAGAAAGAAAAGCTCTTCCTCAGAGTTTCAAGCTAAGTCATACATTTAGAAGAAATGATGGAAATCACCATTTGGCAACCATCAGGTAAAAATCACCAATGAATGCTAAAACCAGGGAGTGAAAGTGTGAGGGGTAGTAGAATAGTTGCATAGTCTCGATCTCCCTACAGGATATTTATTAAGTACAAAGTGAGAAATACTGACTTTAAAATGGAGTAATTATCAAAATTAAGATCACAAATAGTGGAACAAATTGACATCATGTCCCCCCCAACAGGAAAGTATTTTTACAAAAATGTATAACCCAAATCCAGTAATAAGGAAACATTAGACAAACCCAAATTGAGTGACAAAATAAGTGCAAAAGTAGCAATGTTAGAAAAGACAAATACTGAGGAATTGTCCTAGAACAAAAACAGAAGAGTACATATTGTATGATTCCACTTATATCAAACTAGAAAATGCAAACTAATGTATAAAGAAAGACAGTCTCTATTTTTCTTGCCTGAGGAGAAAGAGTACAGGGAGGGAAGGGGAGACTATGAAGTGGTACAAAGATAGATTTTGATTGCGATAATGGTTACACAGTGTGTATTTATGTCATACTTATCAAATTGTTTACTTGCAATATGTGCAGTTTATTATATGTCAATTATACCCCAATAAAGTTGTTTTTAAAACTTGAGGAACTGTTCCAGGGTAAAGGAAGCCAAAAGGGTATTTTCTTATGGAGGAAATACAATTAAGTCTGTGGATTAAATAATGGTTCTATGTTAATTTCCTAATTTTGGTAATAAAAAAAGAGAATAACCTTGTTTTTAGGAAATATACTCTCTGGTATATATATATATATATATATATGGCTATATATAGGGATGATTATCATGTCTGTGAGAAATGTACTCTCAATTGGTTCAGAAAAAGAGAGGCAGAAGAGACAGAGATGGGGGAGATAAAAAGATAAAGTAATATGATAAAATGCTACCATTTGGATGAAAGATATGCCAAATTCTCTGTACTACTTTTGCATCTTTTCTGTAAATCTGAATTATGTCAAAATGAAAGTTTTTTGTTAATATTTTTAAATAAAGAATGTGGTGATTAGGTGGTTATGGCCAATAGCCAAGGTAGTCACTCATCCATTCACAAATACTGGTTTTTCCCACTGATGGAGCTGATGCCATGCTTGCCAGAGCAACTTCATACATATAAAACCAAGTGCAAGGGTTGTACAACACAGAGAAGACAAGTAGTGATTCTATAGCATCTTACTACACTGATGGACATTGACTGTAATGGGGTATGTGGGGGGGACTTGGTGATGGGGGAAGTCTAGTAAACATAATGTTCCTCATGTAATTGTAGATTAATAATACCAAAATAAAATAAAAATAAAACCAAGTGCAAATATATAAATTTATAAAGCTGATGATTAGAGTTATAAATATATTCTCTTTCATTTAACTCACAAGGATTTATTTATCACCTCTCACTGTGGCAAACCTGGACAGGCACTAGAAAAGAGAAGTCCCCTGGTATGGAACCTGGGGAACACACACGTATATAGTTGTGGCACAGGGAGGGGTGGGTGAATGGATGCAGTCTTGTCTGACAGGGAAAGGAAGGATATGTACCACAAGCATGAACACAGAGGCAGGAACATGCATGGTAAGCTTGGGGAAAATATGCAGCTGAAACTTCAAGTATCATGTAAGGAGAAATGACAGCAAGACAGAGGAGGTCAGTTGTGCCCAGATCTTGAAGGTCTTACATTGCATGGTAATGAATCTAAGCTTCATCTATCACTGGAAGGTACTGAAAGCTTCACTATTTTTGCTTTGAGTGAGATGTATCACACAGACAGATGAGCACTAAATGCATTTAAATAGAAGAATCAGGGTCTTAGAAAGAAAATCTGAACTGCACATAGGGAGGGCTTGTTGTTCAACATCCCGACTCTGCTGCTAGCTGGTACACTCAAGATTATATCACATCCCCAGTGCACAACTCAAGAGTATAAGGTCAGTAAATACTTTCTGATAATTAAAAGAACAATGGAATTGTCCCAATAAGAGTTAAAGACCTCAATTATTGCAGTGGCCAAGGAAATGGAGAGATAGGAGTGCTCAGATCTTGTAGAACAAGAGAATCAGAAGAGGGAGAGGAAGACATCAAAGATAACTGAATTTTCCATTTGCAGTAACCTTGCGGATTGTAAATCATTAAACCATATAGGTAATTCAAGAGGAGGAGCAGGTTTAGGAAGAGACCAAAGTTGTTCACACCTATCAGAGACAGAGTACCTTTGGCCATGAAGTCATTTGGCAATCAGGAGCTAACAAGGGAGGTCTCCCTATTAAGGAAATGCTACAAAGTGTTTTAGATGTATGTTTGTAAACCATTAAGTTACATGCCAAATTTTGATCTACTACGACATTTATGAAGTGGCTTGAGTAAAGATTACTCATTGCAGTAAGGTTTGTAATAACAAAATATTTTAGGAACACCTTAAATGCCCGTGACTACATGATTGGTTCAAAATTTAATCTCTTGTTCGCAATGGGTAAAATAGGAAGTCAACATTTGTGCAGAGATAATTTAAGATAATTTAAGAATGAAATAGGAAAAATTGATTGGATTTAAGTTCACAATACTTTCTTTCTCTCTTTTTTATTTTTTACCTATGCACCCATCCCTCTACCCTCCCAATGCTTTTAAATTAATCTATTCTACTATACCTGTATTTGTAGTAGATACAAAATAAATATAACTTCAACTGCATGATTTAAAAATCATAAAATACCATAGTTGACAGTGTTTTAAAGGTCTGAAAAACAAGTCTGAGCATTAACCAAGCTCCTAAGTTCCTTTAAATGAAGTCTAAGTCAATCAATACTTTTAATACCTTAGGTTCATAAACTGCAATAAGAACTAATGTTTATTATCACTTAGGAGTTTACAAACCAGTTTCAATTTCTGATTATCATTTAATCCCAACACCCCTGTGAAATATGTAGAGCAGGTAGAAAGGACCTGCTAAAAGCTGAGACCAAAGCTTTATTATTGCTATACCTCCAAGGCAGAGTTTGAAAATTAAGGATACATATAGTCTTATTCTTTCAAAAGAAAAAAAGTTAAGTCCCTGTGGTTTCTCAGGCTGCAAGGGAATTAATGGATTTGTAACACTTATAATTTTTAATTCTGTAACTTCCAAAATGACATACAACTAGCCAAAATGAGGCATAGCAGAAATCTTTGCAAAACCACATTTCATACAATTTCCCTATGTCTTCATCAAATTCTATAATGGAAAAACTTCATGTTCTAGTTTTCTGAGACATTCTAAAAATAAGCTAATGCAATAGAAATACCATTTGACCCAGGAATTCCACTCCTAGGAATTTACCCTAAGAATGCAGCAGCCCAGTTTGAAAAAGACATATGCACCCCTGTGTTTATTGCAGCACTATTTACAATAGCCAAGAAATGGAAGCAACCTAAGTGTCCAGCAGTAGATGAATGGATAAAGACGAGGTGGTACATATATACAATGGAATATTATTCAACCATAAGAAGAAAACAAATCCTACCACTTGCAACAACATGGATGGAGCTAGAGGGTATTATGCTCAGTGAAATAAGCCAGGCAGAGAAAGACAAGTATCAAATGATTTCACTCCTCTGTGGAGTATAAGAACAAAGAAAAACCTGAAGGAACAAAACAACAGAAGACTCATAGAACCCAAGAATGGACTAACAGTTACCAAAGGGAAAGGGACTGGGGAGGATGGGTGGGAAGGGAGAAGGGGAAAAATGGGCATTATGATGATTAGCACACATATGTAGGGGGGGCATCGGGAATGCAGTATATAGCAACCACAATGTTGTTCATGTAAGTGTATATATCAATGATACAATAAATAAATAAATGAATGAATGAATGAATGAATCAATAAATAAAAATAAAAATAAAAATAAGCTAGTGCATCACTGCACAAAACATACTTCAGGCCTATTCACATAAAGCAACATTTTACCGAAGTGAAAGGATGTAATACTGAAGCCAACTGTCTTGGAAAGGATGACTCCACTAAGTCTCAAGCGTCTCCCAGCCCTGTGGGTATTTACTTACCTCCAAAGGCACAATGACAGATGGTTTCTTTTTCAGTTCCTCACATTTCCTCTTCTTACAGATCTGATGGCTGTTCTTTCTGTTCTTGCAGTAAGTACATTCACCACAGTTAGTCTTCTGCTGGCAGGGTTCACAGACCCCACATCGCTTTCGTTTCTTCTTTTCCAAAGTAGGTAGCAAAGTTGTATAGGAAGAACAGGTACTGGCAAGTGACACTGGCTTAGACACCACTGTGATGTTGTCAACCATGCTGGCCATGCTAATCTGTGAGCTCCCTCTTCCTGATTTGCTGGGACCCATCAGGGAGAGTTGAGCAATGCCCTGTGAAGCATGATAGAGTCCTCTTTCAGGGGCTAATGTGAACCCTTGGGTATTAGCTGGCAGAAAGCACCTATGAACCTGCTTCTCATTTTCAGTATTGCTTAGAGCCATTACTGGAGGTACAGAACTTATCTCTGAGTTGGTCAATAGTTGAGGAATGTGATCTAAGCCCAAAGGCAAAATCTGCATAGGGCCCTGGACCTCAAGCCCATGTGAAACAGTGCTCTGGGCCTCAGGCCATTCTGGAAGAGCATTATAGGTAGCAGTTGGGTTTAGAGGAGCAGGAGGAAAGATAGGTGGATCTGAGGCAGTACCAGCACCCATACCAAGGATTTGTTGATCCAGGATAGCACCAAAGATCTCGGCTTGGACTGGAAGAGCACCAGGAACTTCTGATGGGTCTGGGGTCTCACCCAGAGCCTCTCCATGAACTGGGTTAGCACCAGGAACTTTCCATTGCTGTGGGACAGCACTAAAGGCCTGTCCTAGGACAGGGAAAGTAACAGGACATTCCTTATCTGGGGTAGCTTTGAGTACCTCTTGATCTGGTTTAGCACCAAGAGTTTGTTGTTCTGAGCCTCCCAAGAGGAGTTTCATTAATGAGGTAGAATATATGGGTCCACCAATAGACAAACAGTTTCTAAGGTCCAATTCAGGTATAACCTTATTAAAGCTGGAGGTGGGGCAGCAATCATACTCTCTTTTGTTGGGATCGAGGTAAGAATCGGATAGCTTAAGAGATTCTACTCGTGAACCCAAATCTTCTAACTGAATGCTGGGGTTTCCTTCAGAGGTAACCTTGAAGGCTGCTCTTTGGAGCAAAGGAGCACACAGAGTGTCCTGAGCAAATATTCTAAGGGAATCGCTGATATCATTCAATGTCTCTTTAGAGAATAGTCCTTTACCACCATGTATACCTTCCAAGGACCCAGAAAGGATCTCTGCAGAAGGGCCATTGTGAGTAGAAATACTTATTTTGGGATCCTCTGCCTTTTGGGACCAAGACTGAGTTTGCTCTTGGCTCCCACCTTTAATTAAAGATGGATTTTGTGTGCCAATTAAATTCTCTATGTCAGGAGGGATCAGGGGGTCTTGCACTGGGGCTGGATTGTTTTCTGAGTACTTTACTGCCATGTCAGTAACTGCCTTACAATCATACTCATGTTGCTTTTCTAAATTCTTAGGAGGTGGAACTTTCTTGGCTTTGGTTATGACCACTGGAGGCTGGGAGAGTCGCCTGCTAAGAGAGGTGCTTCGGAGAGCCATTGTAAACCCATTGCAAGTTAAGGACTCTGGGTTCTGAAAAAGAACCTCAGTCCTATCCAAATTCATCCGTGCTGCTCCAGCTCTTGTCAGAAGGCTTCTGACCGGCACAAGGGGTTTGTGTTCCGTTTTTTTCTTAACATCTCTTTCTTGAATTAATTGCTTTAATTTTCCAGGGCTTACAGTCTTGACTGATGCCACATTTTTGTTGGCTGGCTTGGCTGTCTTCTTCAGGGGACTGTTTTTCTTTTTGTTTACATCTTCCCTCTTGACTAATCTGGACGGCCTCGCATGGCGGGATCGAGACATAGCTACAGAGTAGGAAAAAATGAAAAGGCACAGGGAACAGAGTCATTGGTCCTTTGGAAAGTCTCACTTCTGAGGAGAATCTGGGTGCACCATGGTCAAGCTCAGCTGTACAAGGTTTTGGTCTGAAATAACAAAAAAAAAAAATTGGAAGTAAGTCTTTTTCCTATGTGCTTTCCCATCTGAAATAGAATATTTACTAGCAATTATTAATCAAAATTAGGGAACTGAGAGTGTTCACTGCAAAAGAAAAATAGACACAAAAAAATACTAGTGAGTCCCTTAAAAGCAGGATTCACAAATAAAGCTCCTTTAATAACTGTGACAACTGATTTAGTTGATACAAAGTTCTTTGAATAAAGTAAGCATGTGTGTTTGTTTCTTTACTTTAGAAACCACAACTATTATAATTTCATGTATTTTAAAGCTCAAATCCCAATCTTTACAAATTTAGATACTTAGAAAATTATCTTTTAATCCCTTTCCTCAGCACATCACCACTCAGGCAGATACCATCTGTTTAGAGTGAAAAGCTGATATAGCCAGAGGAAGAAGTGGTTTATGTGATCCAAGAAACTGTACTTCTTGGGGACCCAATAATAGTAATACAACTTTCTAATTAATTATCAACAAATTTTGAGCTTTACGCATGCACAAAAAATGGCATAAAATCTTGGGATTTAGTATTGACAGACTAGGTTACAAATAAGACTCAGGGGTCTAACGAATATCTGTTGAGTACCTACTATGTATAAGGAAGGCATTGTGGTGGGCACTGCCCACACCCAGAAATGATGTCCCTCTTTTCTTTCTTTCACCCAACTTAATCCAAAGACTGCTGGTTCTAAAATCCCTTCTACCAAGGGTCCCAAAAGTCTCATGATGAATGCTTAAGCAAGGAAATTGGAAATAAAGAGAAAATAAGATAGTTAGAACAGTAAAGCATACCAGGCAAGCAACTGTATTTGAAAGATAACCAAGAAAAGAGGAGAAAATGAAAGGGGTCTGACAAAGAGCCAGCCTCGGTTGTCTTTTTGTCTCAGGTTGCCTACCCTGACCCAAAATGAGACCAAGATATGAGCAAGAATGAAGCTCCTCATACAAAATCTATCAAGACTCTAAGGTCACAGAATGAAAATAGGACAATGGACCGGGTGAGGATCCTTTAACAGTTGACAAGTTGTTGGATTTGTAAAGCACAATGCAGAATGATTACCAAAAACTGGTCTGCAGCCAGGTGATCAATAGTCTGTGGCAAAATGAGAAAAAAATTGAGGCAGAGTAAAGTTTTTCGTAAAGTTGAATTTATTCATTTTAAACAATGCTCCTTTATTCTGAAATTATGCCTTCCTGTTTTCTATCATTCAAATGTCTTTTCTAAAAAGAGTAATAAAAGTCCTTTTGTGGGGAAAGGTGGGGAAAGGCTTATTTTTTAATGTTATTACCTGGCAAAGTAAAAAATATGACAGGCCTCTATCAGTCTCAACTTTTACAGGTGTTTTTGTTGTCAGTACCTGATCTGATACAGGTATCCTGGGACACACTGGCCAGTTTAGTGGCTAGAGACAGTGCCCCATCAGAAAGCCCTGCGTTTGAATCTGTGATCACTAGCTGCGTCCTTCATGAAACTACTAAATGAGTCAAGATTTCTATATCTGAAATGAGGCTCTTTGGAGGTATCAATGAGCTCCTACAGGGAAAGCCTATGGCACTGGTTTCATCCTTGTGATACTTGAGGTTGAAGGAGGAAGCAGAGGAAGGTAGGGTAAGAAGGACTTGGGAAGTAGGCAGACCTGAGTTCGGTTTCCAACTCAAGACACATTACTAGCCATGTGCTTCAGACAAATTTCTGGGTCTCTCTATTCCTCAGTTTCCTTATATATAATAGAATAGGAAGCATAATCGTGCTGACCTATTGCATTACCACAAAAATGAGATGTTATCTGTAAAGGCTTTTAATAAGTGTTTCATAAGTAAGAGCTAAACAAACAAAAGGCTGTTTGTAACTCCAAAAATACAAAAAATAATCATAAGAGAAAATAAACTAAATACTAGCTGTCTTTATTATAGAACCACTTTATCCCCCAGTCTGCCAAATCCTGCAAACCAAGATCTAGTTCTTTTGTTTCTGTTCTTATCCAACACATTGTAGGCCATGAACTGTAATAAAATATCCCAGAGCACAACATTTAGAATCAAAGTATTATGCCCGTAAGAAAGATTTTTTAAATAGACATTAGTGATAACATTAACTAAAAGAAAAAAGTGTGCTAAATACAGACACTAGGCCAGAGAATACTTCAAGAGTTCTTCGCATCTAAGCTTACTGCTTTCCCCCTTTCCTTAAAAAAAAATAAAAATAAAAATAAATTGGCTTACACTAACTCTTTGGCTGTAAAAAACTGTTAAATATTTTCTCCAAAGACCACTGCTTTTTGCACTAGCATTTTTAGGAAACAAAAGACATTCCAATTCCAATCTCCAGAAAGTCAGCAACCTTTATAAGGATGTTTTTTTCAGATAACGGAAAGCAATCCATTCTGTTCTCTAGAAATTCAACAATACCCGTATAGGCATACTTTATCTTTTGTAACAAGATTACACTGCTAAAAAATTATTAGAAGCATATAATCTAGGCATTGCAACCAGCCATGAAAATTAAAATTCATGTATGTAAGCAAGTAATCTGGATATGCCAGAGGGTGTCAAGGGATCTGCTTTTGAAAAGTTGATCTCTATCTCTTACATATTCTTTTATATTTTTTAATTGAAATGCTTTGGAAATTCAGACTTGTAATTAAGATAATGTTTACCATTCAAAACTTATCTCCCGAAAAAGAGCCTGCCAAGGAAATAGAAAAGGTATGAGCAACATGGATTGGGAATTTTGTGGCCTCTTTAAATGGTAACAGCCTTTTTATGAGATCATGAAAGAGGCCAATGACCCCTGAAAAACCCAACTGCAGGGGAGAAACCACTGGGTACCACCCAGCCAAAGGAACAGACAATCAGAAACAAAATAAGGGCTCCCACAAGATCCTAATTTTATCACCCTTGGCTCCACTGATGAAATGTAACCTTCTTTTGTGATAAACTAAGTTATTCTCAGGACTGAACTCTAGGAGGAGAGGCAGTTTGTTTGTTTTTTTAATTTGTGGGGTAAAAAATGAAGTCCACTCTATTAAGTAGATCCATATTTAAATATGGAATTATCCCTACAGATCTCCTAAAATTTATTTTCCTTATTAATTTGTAAACATTATTAAATGCTCCATTTCCCTTTTTTGGTGCTTGTTTAAAAGTCATACAAAAATGTATTTACAATTTAATACTAATCCCACTTCCATCTTTCATTTCTGATGAAAACTTACATTTCAATATTTCTCAAAATCAGTTTTATTTTACCCTATCTTATTCTATTTTATTCAAGAGTCTGGGTGCTACACAGATGGCTACAGAATAACATGTCTGGAGCAGAAAATAATAGAACCCCTGTTATTACACATATATAGTAGGCCCAGGATGGGGAATTCATTGACACTATCAATTCATTGTGTCAGTTCATTGAAACTATCCTATGAGTTATTTTCCTGGAAGAGGAAACAAAGTGAAACAAAATCCAACAATTGTGGGATGCAAAACACTACTTAGTTAACAAATCTTTTCACCAGCGGGCATCAAGACCCCTAACCCACAATAAATTTTTCCCCCTAAAATGACCTTGTAACATAGGAGACTGTAGAGTATGAGATGGATCCAAACATCACTTTCCAGTAGATAAGAGGCCAACCCATAATTTGAAACATGAGAAGACATGATGCCAGCCTTAAGTACAGAATATAAGGTTAAGAACAGAGCAGAGAAGTGGCAAGAGCAGGCCCCAGGTAAAGATGAAAAACATGGCCTGTGGGAGGATCTGCTAATTATCCACAAATAATTTCAACTTCCTTAACCAAACTGGTAAAAAAAAAAAAGGGATCAGATTTTTGCCTCAATATGATTTGACACTACCAAGTAATTAGTCTTTCCCTAAAGAAATTTCTTTCTTTTTTTACAAGTATTGAAATAATCGCCTTGCCTAGAAAGTGAAAAGCAGACTTCCTGAACTGTATCGGTTGTGTTTAAAGGATGATGATATTGGCAGTACCATGTCAGAAAGTCTCCCCCCTATATCCTCCGTCCTGAATCTCCGAAGCACACCTGGGCAGAAACGGGCTGAACTGATGCAACCATCCAGCCCGCAGTCCATTTAAAATTACACTGTAATCCTTGCTACCACCAGCAGTGGTCAGAAAAGCGGATGATTGCATACATAGAGCTAGATGCAAAAGAAACTGGTTTCATAGTCATTCCATTCAGCTCCTTCTAATTTAAAGGCTACTGCACTTGACTACCAAATACAAGACTTAAAGCATTTCTTTTTAAAAGGCACCACCTGGCTTAGTTTCCTCCAGCAACTAAATTCTACATCTAAAGGAAGAGGAGGTGGGCGGGCTGCTTGCTGTTCCTAGATAGTTTTCTGCCACAGGAAGTGCCAGAGCCCTCGGCACATGGAAAGGCTGTTCAGGGAAACTCACTAGAATGCCAGCAGTTTTGCTGAAAGCCTCCTTCCATATGTAAAACACTCCTGCTGCCCTGCAGGGCAAGAAAAAAAAGACTAAAAGGAGCCACAGACAAGGGAAGGGAGAAGTTAAAATGGAGATAGAATGACCCTTCCAAAAACAAGAAAAGCAGAAAACACATTAGGAAGAAGAGAAAAACGCGTAAAGAAGAAAATATCTAGAAACGTGGGGGGTGGGGGGTGAGGCCAAAAGACAGAGGAAGGGGAAGGAATTTATCGTAGTAAAGCCAGAATATAAAAAGACAAATGGGGTCAAATCGCTGAAGACCGAAGGTTGAAAGATGGACTGGGAAAAAGAGAAATTTAAGGGTACAGGGAAAGAAAGATAAAAACGCAAAGAGAGTGGGGGAGGGGAAAGACAAACCAGATAAAGAAGATTGGAGGAGGAAGAGAAACAAAGGGTAGGGACTGAGGTGATCCAAACCTCCGACCCACAATTCTGGAAGGCCAGAGCTGAGAGCAATGGCTAATTCATTAAAATGGTAAGTGGTGAGCCCAGAGTTGTAAATCTGAGCTGCTAATCTTTGCAAAGAAAAAGGGGCGCTGTATGCCAATAACTCTAGTATATTTTGATTCTGAAGTTTAACCTTAAATCAACTGAGCTTTAAAACATTTGTCAGAGTTTCACAACCAACCTAAGATCCCTTAACTGGGAGGGAAGGACTTGGGTTTTACCCTATGGTACCAATAAAATCAGAAACTCACCCCAAATCATGTTACCTAAATCTTTCAGTCCTTGAAAATAATATGGACTAATCTGCCAACGTCCTTATTTATGCCCCATCTTCATATTCCCCTTAATTGTAGTCATAAATTCTGTGTCTTAATTCTTCTCCCTACGTGGTTAACAAGAGCCTTTTCCATATTCTTCTTGGCATTCTAAGGCTCAAGGAAGCCAACGTTCTTATTTTACTTTATATTGTTGCGAGGGGGAGGATGGAAGGATTGAGCACATTTCGATTCAGGGCCAGCCTGAGGTTCCTGCCCTGTAGCGCCGCCCTTCAACCTACCCAGTGCGGCGCGCAGCGCACGCCGCCGACACCAGGCACTTCAATCTTTTCCCTCCCGCAAGGTCTTGAAACACTTTTCAAACATTTGTTCATAAACTGTTCATTACTATTGTATTATGTTGCCCCAGAGTGGAACCTAGGAGGAGGGGGAGAGGAGCTTGAATGACCTATGCAACATGGTTAATTTGGAAGGAAGAGTCCGGCCGGGGAAAGGCTCCTAGTTCAAGCAATATGTGCTCCCTAGGGGACATAGTAATTTTTATTGGGTCAGAAATGCCCCATTTGGGTTCCCCATTCAAATGGAAAGGCTAGTGGGGCCTGCCAGCCATCTCCTGACCGCTTTTGTAGAAACTGAGTCTGCTGGGTGTGTGGGTAACAGAGGAGGAGCTGAGTGGGGGAGAGATCTCGCCCCACCCTTCCCGACTGGTTCAGCGGCTGCGGCCCTGGTCGCCGCTTCGGCTCGGCCTCGGCCCCTCACGTGCCGCACGGCTGGGCCTCCGCGCCCGGCTCTGCGAGCCTCCCCGCTCCGGGCCCGCTCCGGGCTTCGGACCGAGACGGATGGATGCAGCGGCAAAGCTCCAAGTCTGGCAATCGGGTGGCGCCCATGGGCTTTTTAAAAAAGCATCTTGACAGAACACGGATTCTATTTATCCCGTTCCCTTTCTTCCCCGATCGGTGTAACTCCAGGTCAGCCTCCCGCAGGACTTGCCTCCTACCTCCGCTCCAAAAGTTTCGTCCCTGAAGCTCCATCCCCTAAACGCTCAGGGAGGCAAGCGCCAAATGTTTCCCCAACCCATATAAGTATTTCCCTGTCCCCTACATAAGCATGGGGGAGGGAGAAAACTTGTTTGGGGGTCCACTTGAGCGCGAGACAGGCCGGGCTCCCCACTCGCAACTTGCCCAAACTCTTCCCATCGCCAGGCGCCCGGACCTCCGGCTCCCCTAAGAGGCTCATCAACCGCCGGCACAGTCAGGAACACCCCCCACCCCTCAGGCCACACTTGGCCTCCCCCAAGCCGGTTTCCAGCGGAGCCCCGGCTCCGGGCGCGAAGGCTCGGGCTGCCCCCACCCGCGCCGCAGCAGGGCCTCAGGGCAGGCGGCCGCATCCTCCGGCCGGGGGCATTGTTTACCAACCACTACAAAAGCGCCCCAAGCGGCTCGGAGTGGGGTGGATGGGGGCACCGTGGAGTACAGACCCATCCCTACCGCCCCGGAGAACCCCGCGAACGCCGAACCCCGGCCCACTTCCAGCCCCAGCCAAGCACTGCCCCGAGCACCCCCTCCCGATCTCAGTGTGCGGGTCCCGGTCCCCCTGACCTCTGCTCCGGCGCCAACTCACCGCTGGCCCTCTCGGGCTCCGAGGGCAAAGCGTGTCCCCCGTCTCCGAGCCTGCAGCAGCCCTCGGGCAAACTTTCCAATTCGCGCAGGTCCCCGCAACTTCGGAGCCCGGGGCCCCAGGGGCGCGAGTGGGCCCCGGGCGGAACCAAACGGCTGCCTGGCAGGGTCAGGGCCCGAGCCCCCGGGGTGGGCGGCTGCTTCCCAAAGGTCCACAGTGGAGAAGCAGGTAGAGCTGCATGACTGGGGCGGGGCTGGGGGTGTCCCGGGGGGCAGACCCGGGAGCAGAGGCGCCAGCGGCTGCGCGCACAAAGCGGTGCTGGAGCGGAGCGCGCTGCCACTCCCCGCCAGGTCAGCCCCCCGGAGCAGCAGTGTCTCCCCAGGACAGACCTCAGGGAGTGAAGCTGGGGCTGTGCCTTTGCTGGACCCTGCACCACTGAGTGAAAGGTAAAACGCGAGCTGGATTTCCCCAAACTGGAGCTGGACTCCCCCCTCTCGACCCCTCCGCCTCCCCTTCGCCCTCCTCCTTTTTCCCAAAAATTTTTTTAGGGTTGGGGGTGGAGGTCAAAGGAGAGTATTGGAGAGGAAGAGGCATCAAAATATTCTTGTCATTTTCTTTTTTTCCGAGCGACTCTGGGACTAAGAAAGTTTTAGCGTCTCTAAAGTGAATGTTTATAGATACATTAAAGAGGTGCCAGGTCAGAGACGACACCATTGAGCAATATCTGGGTCCGAAGCAATGTAAAACTGCTCTGAACACCAAAGAGAAGCCAGAGGAGGGTTATGTTCCCTTGACTCAGCGCTCAATGTCTGCAAAGGTCGTAACATTTTTGTTAGTTGTTTGGTTCTGTACCTTGATGGGGGTCGTATTCACTTTGTAGATGAAGAAATGAAGGTACAGGAAGAAGTAAGATTTCAGCATTAAGAGAAATAACTAGCGGCATTTACGCCAAAATCAAGACAGACTGATTGGGCATCTGAATTTCTCCCCAAATGTTTGATGACTTGTTTCTTCCAGCTGTCAGTAATTACACAACAAGGGAATTCAGATCTGTAATGGGGTCCCAGTAGTAAAGAAAATCATTTCTTCGGAGTCAGACTCCAGCTGAAGAGAAAGACTCATTCTATCATTGCCTTCTACACCATTTTACCCTATTCCACACATTTTTTATTCTTTGTTATACTTGCTCTAATAGTCATTAACCAGATTGTCCTTTTGAGAAATATTTGTAAACTTTCAATCTTTCTCATTGATTGATTCATTCAAATTTATTTCTTGAGCCAGAATCAAGGCATACAGAGATGAATAAAATTTGCCTCTTTCCCAGGTAGAACACACAATCCAAGTCTGCAAGCAGAACAAGCTAATGACGGCACTCAGAGTGTTTTCAGTGCCACAGTTAGATAAATACTATAGGTGAAGAAAGTTAAAAAATGTGGCATTTGAAATAAATCTTATCTGCAAAAATACTCTTCTCAATCAATATTTCCAGAAGCCTAATTGCCAATACCTTATCAGAAACAATCTCCTAGGACCTAGATGAAAAGACCATTGGGAGAGTTTGACTCAAAACTTATTTTCCACAAAGAACGAAAGGAAATAATGCAATAGCAATATCCTGGATTTTGTCAATTAATTAAAATGATTAACTTTAAAAAGGGTTTTTTAAAGTTTTGTTTTGTTTGTTCCTTTGTTTGTTTTTAGATTCTATATATAAGTGAAGTCAAACAATGTTTGTCTTCTATATGGTATTTCTCTCTCTGCCTTATTTCGCTTAGTCTAATACCCTCTAGACCCATTAATATTCTCAAAAATGGCAAGATTTCATTCTTTTTTATGGCCTAGTAATATTCCATTGTATGTATGTACCACTTCTTCTTATCCATTCATCTATTGATGGATACTTAGGTTGCTTCCATATTTTGGCTATTCTAAATAATGCTGTGGTGAACATAGCATGCATATATCTTTTCAAATTAGTGATTTTGTTTTCTTTGGGTAAATTCCCAGAAATGGAATTACTGGGTTATATGGCATTTCTATTTTTAGTTTTTTGAGAAACCTCCGTACTGCTCTCCTTAGTGCCTGCACCAATTTACTTTCCCACCAACAGGGCAAAAGAGTTCCCTTTTGTCCACATCCTCTCTAACATCAAGTTTCTAAATTAAATCCAAAGATTGTCAACATCGACTTTCTAAGTCAAATCTAAATTGTTGAGAATACACAAGGTACATACAACACATGGTAGGTACAAACAAAAAGACACCTCAGTGGAGAAGGTGGAAGAAAGAGGAAATCAAATTACTGTTCTGAGTGAGAAAAAAAATGGGATTTCCAGAATTGGTTTTGGAAGGAAGTGGAAGAATTAGCATACCTTCACAGTGACTGTAGAGCAGGAGATATATTCTAGTTGTGATGGTGAAATATCTTTTATATTATAGTCAGCTTCCAAAAGGACCAGATCCTAAATCAAGAACTGAGTGTGGTCAAAGTGAGCCAGTGTTGGTGCAAACTCCTTCCCTAGCCCTTCTACTTCTATGACAAGATAAGGCCATTTTCTCCATTTATGCCTTGTCCAGCAACTTCAATGGTAGTTTTTTCAACCCACTAATTTAATTGTCTATTTAACTTTTCCCAAGCTCAACCTGGACTCACCCCCACTTGACCTCTGCATCCCCATCATCTGTTTTCTTTACTGCTTGCAAAAAGCAAAATTCTGTTGGAACCTTAACTAACTGCAAAGAATTGAGACCCAAATCTGCCTGAGGTCTTTATTGCTTCTCAGCAGTACCTACTTGGGGAGCTTTTTAGCCTCTTTCTGCCATGGGGCTCATTCTAAGCCTTCATTTTTCCTCATCCCCAAAGCTGCCCATAGTCCAGGCTGTCAAGTGAGGCCCCCAAGCAATAGATTTCTTATTTACCTTTCCTTCCCTTCCTCAGCTGTAGTACTGCCTGTTTACTGAAGCTTCTTCCCTATTATATGGCTGCCTATTAACTTGTGCCCATTGTCTCCACACTACTTTAATGAGCTCTTCTTTCTAGCATCTTCAGTCTCTTCTTCATTAGCTGCTGCTTCTTCGCTGTTGACAAGTCTTTTACATTTATCATCCCTTTGCTTGACTTCCCTCTCCCATCTAACTTTAGTCCTATTTCTGTCATGACAAAGTCTGTTTCTTGCTGTCGTTCCTATAACATCCATTTATTTCTGAGTCCACTGAGTTACATTCACAGCACAGCTTCATCCTCCTTTTATCCCCCTTCATCTTGAAATGCCTCTTCCCTGGAATTCTATGACACCTCTAAGCCATCCTGTTTCTCCTATGTGTCCACCAAGTGCCTTCACCATCTTCCCTCTCTGGCTACTCCCTTCTTCAGAGCTTTCTTGGCACTGCAAGCACTTCAGGACTCCTGATCCAGCAGAAGACTTCCAAAGATGAATCTGCAGCCCTGAATGTTTTGCTCTGGAACTCCAGCCATCATTTCTAACCTCCAAAGCCAGGTGCCGTGTTCTGATCTATTTTCCTTTCATTTTCACCTGAGACATTCTGGGAACTGCTCCACTCTGATGCTTCTCTTTATGTCACATGTAGCAACCTCCACATAGTAGGCATTTAAAAATAATTGACTGAATTACTTCTGGACATTTTCTTAATCTTAATTACCTGGTGAGTCCCTCCTAACAAATGTAGTTTCTCCAGTTTTGTGCCTAGAGCGGGTGGATAGGTTGGTACAGATACAGGTGTTTGAGATGTCCTTGTCCTTCCTGTCTGTCCTCTCCTTTCTCTGTATCACTCTTATTCTTGTCAATCTCGTGAACTTACCATCACTCCTCAAAACTCAGCTCAGAGATCTCCTTGTCTTGAAGCTTCTTTTAATTACCCAGGCAGAATTTGGAGCTTCATGGCTCTCTCAACAGTGCCTCTGCATTATTCCCATATCTTTCAGAACACTTCTCATAAAACTCCACTCCAGCTACCAAATTGTACACCCCTAAAGGGTTTATCTTTCATTTTTATATTTCCCACGACTTGGCACAGAGCAGACACCCAAATAGCTCAATAAATTTTGTTACATGACTCTCTGAAGTTCTATCCTCTGTGGCTGCAATTCTATATATTTGCACAAATGAGGCTACTTTCTTGGTAAATGTCACAGTACCTTATAAACATGACAGTAAATGTAAAGTACCTACTAGGCCCAAACAAAGCAGGGGCTCTGTGGGTCCCTTTCTCATCCCCTCCACTTATATATAAGAAGGATTTCAAAAACATTTGTCATTGCCTTGAAGATTTCTAAGACTTTTACCATCTTTAGAATTCTATTATTTAAAATCTATTGACAACTCGGATCCTCTAGGAAATTGTTCTTTAACAACCCCACCAAACATAGATAACCTCTGAATTGCCACCCCTCATCAGCATTCATGAAGAATAATGTTGAACTTTGTTAATTTGTACTCACCAATATGTAATTTTGACACTGTTCACTAGTACTATGTGTACAATGTTTTATTTGACTACCTAAAAACTTCAGGGTAAAATTCATATCTTTTATTTCTTTTGTATCTTATCTCTCTATAGGACCTCATACTGTAATACCTTCAATAAATATTGCTGACAGGCCAAATATTCACTGACAAAGCAATTGGATAATATGTCCAAAGTGTTTTTTTTCTTCTGGGAGAAAAACACTAGATAAATCTATTAATGTTATTATTGCTCAAGTATGTGAAAAATGCCATTATTAAGTACCATCTTTACACCTTACACTCTGTCCTCTAAGTAAACATGGCTGAAGTTGTGACTTAAATGCCACAAACTTCCAAAGTTACATCGCTGGCCCAATCCAGTTTTGAGCTCCAGACTACTTCAACTTAGAACCTTCACAGACCTTTTAAACTCAATATTTCCGATACCACTTATTCTTTTTTTTAATAAGGTATCATTGATATACAATCTTGTGCTCAGTTTCACATGAGCAACATTGTGCAATACCACTTACTCTTACAACACTCTTTTCCATTGGCTTCTGTAACTCCTGTTTTCCCCCTACATCTCTAGCTACTCCTTCTCTGTCTCCTTTGCCAGCCAATCATTCTCTAACTAGCCATTAAGTGTTATAGTTATTCAAGGCTGAGTTCTAGGTTCTCACTCTCTTTCTTTTCTCTTGCTAATGTTATATCTTCAGCCCAAGCTGAAGTATTAAACTCTTTAATATCTCCTCCTAGATGTCTTCAACGCCTCTACATACTCAGTATGTCTCAACCAAGCAGCTCATTCTTTCTCCTGACTTCTACCTCATCCTAAACCAACAACAAACTGATTCACTTTCAGTGATCCCTG